GAAGTTATTCGACGTCAGGTAGGCATGGCGCCGGTGGAAGATAAGTTGCGGGAAGCGAGGTTGAGATGGTTTGGGCAAGTGAGACGTCGGGATGCTGATGCCCCTGTACGGAGGTGCGAGAGGATCACGGTTATCGGGGGAAGTAGGGGAAGGGGTAGACCTAGGAAGAATTGGAAGGAGGTGATTAGGCAGGATTTAGGACTTCTCACCCTGACTGAGGATATGGCTTTAGATAGGAACCTTTGGCGGACTAGGATTAAAGTAGCTGGTTAGGAGCGCGGTGCTGCAGAGGTTTTTTGTAGTGTGTTGTGTTTGATTGGAATCTTCTACTTTTGCTTGCTGGACTTTCATTTCATTGTACTTGGTGCTTTATCCTGTTATATCCTGTTATATCCTGTTTCCCTGTTATATTGTGTTCTCTACCATATTTTTGTGCAGGTTGAGCCGGGGGTCTCTTGGAAACAGCCTCCCTACTTCCGAGTAGGGGCAAGGTCTGCGTACACACACCCTCCCCAGACCCTACTGTAGTGGGATTCAACTGGGTTGTTGTTGTTGTTGTTGGTTTGAGCGTGTAATCCCATACCCTTTGAAAAGAGAGTTGAAAAGCTCAAAAAAAAAATTGTGGGTTGTGTGTCACGACTACACTAGTTAAAAAAATGGTAAGGGTATACCAAAGGTGTATCCCAAATGTCTCTTACCCTTTCCTTATCCACTAAAAAACGCAAAATAATTCAAAATAATAAGTTAATAAAAATCAAATAAAAATGTATGGAGAAAAAGAGAGTGGTGTACATTTGGGGTACACCTTTGTGTACCCCTAGCATTGCTCTAGTTTAAATTCTTTTCAATTTCTCTTTGGATTTTGGTCCTTAATTTTGGTGGAAGTTAGGTAAAATTTCTGCGGTGCGATCATCCTTTCGTGCCACTTTAAAAGTTAGTGTTTAAAACACTCCACAAATGGTCCAATGAGATATAGACATGTGGAGATAACTTCTACAAGAAAACATCTTAAATAGAAGTAAATCATTAGACATATCCTAAAAATAGGAGTTATTAATAAATTTCCTCTGTCCTATCTTGATTGATCCTCTCCCCTTCTTCTCCCAATTGCTACCCTTCTTCTCTCTTATTCTTCCTTCCACTCCCATAGTCATTGCAGCCCCCTATCGCCATCACGCCGCCGCCCCATCTTTCTGATCTTTGAGTCTTAGATCTTTTTTCTTCTTCCATATCTTTTTTTCAGATTCAATTCTAATATTATTATTTCAATTTATTTGATAAAGGAAGACTTATACCCACGAATTGTTCCTTCCACGGTGAAGTGATTGATTTCAAAGAATCCCACATTGATTGATAAATCTATACTTTTTTACTATCATTACCTTTGTTGTTGTGTATTTTACTTTGACGGAGCATCTAATTTAGAGGTTATTAAGTGTGGAATTGTTGTTCTTCATAAATTTTTGTGACTTTAACACAGACTTTAGAGATTTAACATTGAAGAAGGTTCTACTTAGGTTGGAGAATTGGAAAATTGGAAATACGCATTCTGTACAACTCTGGTCATGGATCTGCCTTGAAATTGTCTTCTTTCCCATAACATTTTTGTAAAGATATGACTTTTTTTAAAATCAAAACAAAAGCTAACTTCTATCTTTTCTTTTCACAGCATTTGTACGTGTTGTGATGTGGCTTTTATAAAACCAAAATAGTTAGGTAATTTTAAATATAGTGTGGAGTAAATTATTACCATTATTGTTTTTTTAGATTTTTGTTGTTGGCATTGTGTTACAAAATTTTGCATTGTATGTTTGCAAATCGCAATACTTCTTGACACTTTACAATATTTATGGCATTATATATTGACATATTTAACATTATCCAGTGACATGTTTGTTATTATACATTGCAATCTTTGGGATTGTTGCTTCGGTTGACATTGTATATGCAATTCTTTTTTACACTTATTTGTTGCATTATGACACTCAGGCGACGACGATTGCAGATCCTTATGGTGTCAGCGATGATGGAGACAAAATTGGTGGTGTTTGGTAGCGACGTGAAAAATCACCGCGAGGGGTAGATTACGGTGTTGGGGCACGACGGCGACGGAGTGCAAATACCCGATTTTTTTGTTTTAGGAATGTACTCAATAACTTATTTTTGTTTATTTTTCTTTTTTTTCTTTGATTTTTTCTATGTTGGCCAAAACATAGCCATGCAAGAAAACACTTACTAATGAGTGCCTTTGATGTCTACCAGCAACAAAATGAGGAGAACGGAGGTCTATAAGCTTTAGGAAATGAATTTAGTTTAATAGCTAGGGAGAATTTAAATAACTCCTATTTAGGAGAGTTTTCTATCCTACTCCTATTTTGGTATATTATCAATTTTTACTCCTATTTTGCTCCTTAACCCAACTTCCACATCATATAAATAGGGCTGTTCATGTTTAGGTCCAGACCGAAAAAACCGACCGACCCGGACCGTTAGGTCCAGACCGAACCCGGACCGATTAGATTTCGGGTCGGTCTTCGGTCTTGATTATTTGAGTTTTCGGGTTTCGGTCCGGTCCGGTCCAAACCCGATATTATTTCGGTCTGGACCGAATGGACCGACTACTTAATTATGTCAGTTACTCCGTACCTGTGTTATCCACTTATCCCTCCAAGTAGAAATCTCACCCTCTGGCCTTACCTAAACCATTCATTTGTTATCCATTCATTCTCTTCTCTTTCTTCTTCGACGCAAGAGAGCGTGAAATCAGAAGGGGATGAGCTAATATTTTATCCGAAAATGCCCAGGGAGCGAGAGAAAGGAGAGTTCGAGGATGATGGAGGTGGTTCCGACACTAAGTCTTGAACCCTAGCCGTCACCCCAATTCTAACATCCATCGTCTTGTTAATTTAACGCCGGTGGTACAGCGATGCCGGCCAACAGCGAAGCAGAAACCACTCCCGCTGACACCTTTGTTTTCGATATGTATTTTGGATGTATTAAGTCCCGCACTCCAGCCGACTTCAGATGAGGATTGCATTACCATCGGTGATTTACTGATTTTTTTTATTTTTAATTTCAAGTTTTCAAATTATCAATCACTGCTAGTCCACTGTCCATTGCAAATTTGCATTATTCAGTACCCTACACCTTACTTTAGGGTACTTTTTATTGTTATTATGATTTTTTTGAATAGAAATGTTATTTGCAGGATTTTGAGTTGTTATTTTGGCTATTTTGTGGCCTGCTTTTTCTATTTACATTCTCAATTCGGTCTTCTCGGTCCAAATGGGTTCGGTCCAATTAATATCGGTCCGGTTCGGTCTGAACCCGACAAGTAATAGGTCCGATCTTCGGTCCTCTTTTTATCTCGATTCAGTCTTCGGTTTGGTCCGGTTCGGTCCGGTCCGGTCCGGTTCTGGACCGATGAACAGCCCTACATATAAACACTCAAATTATGTTCTTTCCATGTTTTTTTGTTTTTTGTTTTGAACGTAATTTTCTTTTGAGCTTTGTCTTTCTATTTGTCATTTATTTCTTTCTTTATTTATCATTCTTAATAAATGATCACATGTTCCCAAATAAACTACCATTTATGATTTACAATATTTGATAAGAATTATTTTTAATTTTATTTATTTGCTATGCAGTATAATATTATTTAAAAAAAAATTAAACTTTTAATAACTATATAAAAATTTGTACTTAATAAAATGTGAAATATATCATTGCTATTATTTCAATAGCGTTTTTTTACGTTACATTTGATTAATGTGCCCTTTTATTTAATGCTACCCTTATCAAATAATTTTATTTTTAATGTGACAGCTTAATAATTTTTTTAAATAATCATACATTTTCACTCTTTTCAAAAACTAATCATATTTTTCACCATCACGGAAAATAATTTCATCTTCTGCATGTGTGTAAGTTTTGGATCGTTGTTAAAGCTAACAGTCACTTAACCAAATTTTTGAAAAATGCTTATTTTTTGCAAATGAATGAAAGGTGATATTATTTTAGAAAATCACTTTTTTTCATTTATTATTTTTAAATTTTTACATTTATGTTTTTAAAAATAACTGTATACTCTTATTTGAGATTTGTCTTCCAATTTTCTAGAGGCGGCGTCTGATTCCTACAGCGACAATACGCTGGCCTTGACTTGAATTCCATCGGAAAAAAATTAAACGGATGGCGTGAACTGATGAAAACGGTGGAAGGGAAGTAAAATAATTTAATTGAGGATGGGGGCCAATTGGAATAAAAAAGAATAATTTGAGTTGGTAAATGATGTGGAAGTTATCTCCACATGTTTATTTCTCATTAGGCCACATGTGAACTGTTTTAAAACACTCACTTTTAAAGTGGCACCAAAGGATCCACCCCTGTGGAGTGAGAGAGTATGCATGCCCCTTCACTCAATGAATGCTATGTGGATAAATAGGCATGAGTCATAATAATATTTTTCATATCATTTAACATTTTAAAATTGTTAATATGCTCATAATTTCACTTGCGTTAAAACTCCCCCAATTCCCCAACCCTTCCGTTGTTTTACTCCGTTTCCTTTTATCATTGCGGTTATTTTCCCGCTGGGTTCTTTCCCATCTCAGAGAGATTGAATTCGACGCTGCTACTCTGGCCCTTCCGTGACCCTGATTTGCACAACACAAAAATTGTTCCCGTGATTGGCGGCGTCCATCCAAATCTATTCATTTTCTTCTTACCCAATCTCAAAGGAAATTTTTTTCTTTGAATTGGTTGATGTTTATATCTGCAACTCTAATTGTAACCCTAAGATCTAGCATAATTTCTGCTTAAATTTATGGGTGGAAGGATCCCGGATGTTAAACCACTATCGATTGATGCCTTCATGAATTCACATAATTTGCATATAAAAAATCTTTAAATGTCAAAGAAGGGATAATTAACTACTCAAATGTTAATATTTATAACAACAACAGTTAAATCCCACAAGAGTGGGGTCTGGGGAGGGTGTGTGTACGCAGACCTTACCCCTACTCGAAAGTAGAGAGGCTGTTTCCAAAGAGACCCCTGACTCAACGCCGAAAGTTGCATATTTATATTTTGAAAGTAATTGTTTAAATTGAAAAAAACGGATTGAAACTTCAAACCATTCAGAGTAGTGTGTGGCAGTAATTATACATGAAGAAGTTGAGGGTAGTTCCTGATTCCTTGAATACAATCTCATTTCCTGCATTAGATTGTTGATATTTTTTTTGACATTTCGACATCCAGCTTTTAGCATCTTACAAGTAGGTATTTATCTCTTCTTTGCATTTTTTTGACATTTCGACATCCAGGTTTTAACATCTTTCTTTACATTTTAAAGAAAAGTGAAGTTAGATGTAGCAAAAAAGTCCTAAATAAATGAAAAAGAGACATCCAACAATGCTCATTTTTATTAGTAAGCAGTGGTTTCTAGATTGATAGGTCACAAATCTCCACATGATTATATTGGCATAAATACTTATAATGTTTCCCAACCTTATAAGTCCCACTCCAACTCCAAGCCAAAAAGAAGAATCCGCTCAGATTTTGTGTTCTTGAAACTAATAGAAGAAGAAGAAGAAAAGCCTTTTAGATTTTTAAAATGAAAATGTGCCTGAAAGAGCTTTGGGATTTGGTCATATTCCTTGTAGATATTGGAGTGCTTAACTGTGGCTGCTTCTCAGAAGCAAGACACAATTCATTGTAGCAAAGGGTTTTAGCATCATACAAGTACCGATTGTTAATCGGTTTATTTGTTGTGTCCACGCCTTAGAGGGGGGTGAATAAGGCGTTTGAAAACTTTTTGGAGTTTGATAAAAACGGTGTTGGCAAATGCGGAAGCAATGTATAACACGCAGAAATAAAAGCGTAAATAAAATGCACAACGATTTTATACTGGTTCGGGAACTCCCTACTCCAGTACCTCGAGGCTCCTCCTCAAGGATTTCCAAATCCACTAAGTTCCGGTTTCTTAAACTCTGTCAAAGCACCGCACTAGTTTGGCAAACAACCCTTTCCAATAGGATTCACTCCGATATTTCACCACGGCTATCTCGAACCATTTACAACGAAGATTTAACGGCTATCTTCTACCATTCCCCCAAGGATTTCAAAGGCTATCCTTGAACCTCTACCCAAGGATTTATACGGCTATCCTTAACCATTACAACGTGAGAATTTAACGGCTATTCTCGACCGTAAGAAGGTGTGTTTGAAGAACACAAACAAGGGTTCTACACAACAGCTTGAATATAAAAATGAAGAACAAAACTTAGCCGGTGTAGAACGAAATTATACTCTCTCAAAAATATAAAACAAACTTATGAATATGAGAGTATATAACTAGAAACACAAGCTCAAATTGTGTGTATAAAAATTAGGAATTTAGGGCTCTTAAAATAGCCAAAATATTAAAAATAATTAATAAAAGGATGAACACACTTAAAATATAAAGAAAGGATGTTTAGAGCTTTGTTTCTTGAAGAAATATGAAGGATTAGACTTGTATTTATAGTGGAAGATGTTAATTACCCGTTGGGAGGTGATTAGGGTTGATTTAATTCAAAATCACAAATCAGGAACAGTAACCTAATGGTCACGGTAGGCCGGTGCCGTCCACACAGTAGCATGGTACCGTGCATACGGTAGGGTGGTACTGTGAGTGGCGGCACCTCGGTACCATGCAACACCAAAAAATCCATTCGGCTCTGGCGGTACCTGGATAGGATGGTATAGGGGTACCGTGTAGGCGGTATACCCTACCGTTTGGGCGGTATTGGGTACGGCTAGGGGTACCGTGGCTCTGTTCTGATTTTTCCAAACTTCCCTTAATTCTTCGTGTTTGAGTTTAAAACCTTTTAGATATTTGAAAATATTTATGGGATGGTTTTAAACATATTTTGTGAGTGCTTTTGAGCTTGTGAATATAGGTATATAGAATCATATTCTTACATTAGTTTCTACCTATATTCTACGCTAGTTTGGTGTTTCAACTTCATTCTTGAGTACCGAATCTTAATGGATTCTTGTTGTACCTGAAACACTTAAACAAACGTCAAGCTCTTATATTGTTTGTTAACATCAAAACATGAGGCTTAGCAAACCAAGGCTAACACCGATTATCCTCTGTGACAATCCTAATTTGAGCGTTTAAAAAGTAGTCATTTTTCCCTTTGATACTTTGGGCAAGACACAATATATTGCAACGAAGGGTTTTAGGATCTTACAAGTACCTATTATATTTTGTAGTTCTATGACAATCTTAATTTGAGCATCTGAAAAGTAGTCATTTATCCCTTTGATAATTTGGGAATTCTTGGTTTTGGCAATCATGTATTTTGATATAACCATGTTTTCGAAAAGAAAACATGGTTATATGGAGTGAGTATGTTTTATGTTTTATTGTTTGATCGGTCACGTGTGTCTTAAGTATTAATGTAAGAACCAATGTTTGGCCTTTTTCAAGCTAACAAATAACTAATGAGTCTCAAAGTCTTCATCTTAATTCCAGTAAAAAAAATCCAGTTATGAGATTAACTTATTGTTCCTTCTCTGTTGAGATTTTTCAGCTTTCATGTTTGTAGAGTCTTCTTATTTAAATTTGTTATTGGTAAAGTAGTGTTATTTTATTGAGTGAAGTACTTCGTAGTAAAGAATTGTGGGCTATATTGTTTGAATATTTCAACCTTTTTTAAGTTATTCATATTCTTATTTTAAAGAAATCTTGCATTCATGTTATATTTTGGGTTGTGTATACATAGTTTTTATCCTTGTAATGTTTGGCCTTATGTGAATTAAGGTGGTTGCTCTAATTAAAAAGACCATTAAAAAAATAAAAGAAAAAAATAATAGAGTGAACACTAGACAAATATAAAATTATCTTTCATTGTGTCATTGTTATCGAGATAAACGAATATAATTATGGCTCATTTATGAACTCGAATTATGGCAGATTTAAAGATTCTGAGGATGAAGAGTTGTGTTATAAAAGTAGTCATGAAATTGAGCATTATGAGTTGAATCAGGAGAAAAATAAC